CTGTGGCTCGCAGGGAGATTGGACATCGACGCAACCATAGACGCAACGGCAGGAGTCTAACAACAATATTTATATATTAATGCATCACATGACTATGCAATCTACTTTTCATGCGTATATACCTTCTTTATACTCTCTAATTTGCCGGTGCATTCGATGTAACAAAACGCTCGACACAAACACAATCGCCATTAATTCCAAAATCTTGCGTGGCGCCCAGACGCAGGAGATTCGTGACGTAAACACAATGCGTTATAATAACAATGCGTCGCGCAAGCGATAATGACCGCTAAGGCGGGCACTATCTCTTCATAATACCTGCTGCGTTATCCAATGAGATTGCAGCGATTCATCACGTCATGCACTAATATAATATAATTTCTAATATATTCGATTTGTCGACTTGGGATTGCTAGAATAGATTCCCGCAATTAGAGCGGCTGCAGAGCAACGATGAAAATGCAGACTCAAAACAGTGCCTACATAAACCATAGAAATGCTGAGACAAACGTTTTGAAACATTTTTACTATAGTTACTACTACTACAATGGTCATTTTAATGTCGAGTCTGAAATGCCAGACTTTCTGGTGCCCGCCAAGAAACTACTTCAAAGGAGGCAGGGGGAGGTTTAAGGGGAGGGCGAATAAAGAAGAAAGAAGAAGGCCGAAGCAAAATGTGAAGGAAAGGAAACGGCAATGAATGTAAAAGATGACGACGCAGTGGAGGATGAAGAGATCACACACAACCAGCAAGTTTACAAATACTGATAAGACACGATAATTTAATGAAAACGGTCAGTTTACGGTTGTTCGTCAAACTCTAGTCACACACGCTCACGCGAGGTAGTCAACTGGACGTCCGCGCACGATACCTGCTCTTTCATCCACCGGCGATCCGAGTTCTCCTTCTCCAGCCGCAAGTTCGCTATCTGATCTGCCAGCGCCTGCAGCTGACCTCCGACCTCTGCGCCTTCGCCGCTCCTCGCCCGATCGGAGCGCCGCTTCGCCGAGTCCCGGGATGATCGTGCGGCGTCCGGCGAATCACGAGTCGGCGGCGCGTCGAGTCTCGGCTTCAGCGACCTGTTCACGGCGGGAACGGCGCCGCCGGACGCGATTTTCAGTGGAGAGCCCTCCTCAACTAGGCTCGTTGCCGCTTGGTCCGCGCGCGGCGAGTCCGCCGTCAGTTCGGCAGCCGGCGCGTCCGTCTTACGCGGAGGTTTGGCAGCAGCGCCATTCTCGCCGATGCTCGGTGACGCGACAAACGCCTCGTCGAGATCCGGGTAACTGAAGTCCACTGCAACAACGTATGGCGGTGACACCGTTATAGAAAACGTTAACTTAATACTCACCCGTAACGGAACAGGCTCAACTGAACTGAACTACTAATACAAGGACAAGGTTGTATGGCGCCTCGTTGAGACCTGGGTAACTGAAACCCACTGCGCCGACAATATTATAGGAGCTGTTAAAGAAAACGTCGACAGGCTCAACTGAGCTGAACTACTAATCCAGGGACTTGGACGAATGTCTGTATTTGCGAAGACACGCCGACTTCTGTATTTCTCATGGTTAATCGTAGACTGCCCTGTAAATACATTAGTCACGCTGTCTTAATGACAGCTACATCGCTAGGCATTACTATAGATTTACGATTTTCATAATATCGGCAAGACACTTACGTGACAGCAGTGAGTTATCGCTGCCCTTGAACAGCGTTTTCGGTGGCTGGACGTTGGAGTTTGTGGTCAGCGTCGGATAGCGGAGAAGCCAGTCTTCGTATCCTCTCAGCAATATAAGTGGTTCACTTTTCAGCACGGTAATCGAGTCCCACTGTAACAAAGCACACGCGATGACTCACCGAGATTAGCGTAAGCCTAGCAAATACCTTTTCTGATAAAGTATTTCAAAAAGCAACTAAACAAGTACACAAATTATGGACAAAAGGTTACGATTATTTAAACTTCTACACAAAAAACGAAAAAAGGAAAACCTTGAAAATGGCGTCCTTCAGATTTTGAAGTGGTTTGCCTAATTTCACATCTTCTTGTCGGCTCTGCCAGTCTAGAAGCACTATGAAATCTGACTTGCTCCTCATGAGCCATGCTTCCTTGCTCTCCTCTGGCAGGTCGATCTGTATTTGTTGCACTGTAACACTGTTATCAGACACGATATTATGGCACTGATCTCATCTACCAGGATATTTTGTACGTGTGACAATGAATATTCTTACATTTTAGCTAAAATGAGACAAAGATCACAGTTTACAGGTCATATTTTAAATTTAGTTTCAAGCCTTATGATAGATTTACATTATGCCAAGCGTAAAAAAATGTGATATGTTTTATTAAACCAATTATCTGCATGAACCCTCCCATACCACTGACAGTAGGTTGTAAAGGGGGGCTTATGTCAGGCTTGCGAGCTGACTCGACTGGAAGCAACTGGCTGCAATTCACTGGTACTGCAGTGATTAGGTCGGTCGACTGCGACGCGACTGCCTGCGACTGGCCGCCACTAGTTGCTCGGAATAGAACAGTGGGCAACTGGACGCAACAGTTGCTCGAAATCCAGTTGCTTCCAGTCGAGTCGGCTCGCAAGCCCGACATAAGCCCCCCTTTAAACATGATACCGTTACTGCCCATATAATTTGACATGAAAGACAAGTTCAGGCATCAATTGCACGTCGGAATGCCTCACCCAGGTTTTACAATCTCCTCTGGTACACTGATGCAGTATCTATGAACGATGCGTGACTCTGCAAAGTCTGTGGCTGGTCGCGCGTCCATTATAATGACCTCACTGACCTTGTCCAGACACATCTTGTATAGCTGCATCGATGTGATGTAGCCTTCTGGCACGCCTAACGAAAAACGTGAGACATTCCCTCGAGTAAGATTTGTTTTTCATTATCATTATTTTAATAATTATGAATAAATTAATTAATTAAAAACAATTTTTTTTTTAATATTTGTAAAAAGCTCCAGAGATTTTACCCCTTAGTTTTACTTCGCAGTACATATTCAATTCACATAGATGGCAGCATCAGCAATATTGAACATGAAATTAGTAATACTGGTAGCGGAATTATGCTGCTGGCCATGTGTGGAATACCTGTGCTGTCATTAGCTGTTTGCGACTTTTTGGCCGATTTCTCGACAGACGTGGAAGCATTGCCCTTTCCAAACTTTGCCCTTTCAATCTCTTCTGCTTCTCTCATCTCCTGCTTTGCCAGGATGTTTCTTGCTTCTTCTTCTGCTATTTTCAAATCATACCTAAGATGACAACAGATTATAGCAAAAATATATCACAATTAAAAATGTACAAGACCCAAGGACTGAATCATTGGCCTATTTCACAAGCTGTATTATAAGGCCTGCCTTATTGTCAGATATTTATTGATAATGTTAATTTAAACATATACTGCTAAGGACAGTCTAAAATGATTATAGATGCCAAAAACATGGATTCTGTTGGTAAGGTTTAATATATATATGAGCACTTGAAATGTGACAATTTTAGGTTTTATGCACTTGTACTTTTTATAGTAGCAATCCACAGTCAGCTTCAACATAATAGTCATTCAATGAAACAAAAAGGGGTTATATTTGGACAGGTGTTCATTCTACAGAGGTGTTTTCCCTATGTAAGTGTCATTAAAGAGAAACTGCCCAAAGTGTCTTATATAGACAAGTGTCCATGCTATAGAAGTGCCCTTTGACATAGGTTTGACTATATTTCTTACTAGGGTAACGTAAAACAAATCACAAGAATCTGTATGGAAGACATTTACTGATACGTCAGCTTCGAATCCATTATGATAGCATGAAAATGACATATTTCAGTCACTAATGCAGAGAACACTAAGAGAAATAGTTACAATACCTCTTTGTTAAACTCTTGGATAGCTTCTCACATCGCTCAATGGCCAACTTTAGGTTTGACAAGCCCACCAGATCATCGTAATATTTCTGCATTGATCAGAAACCAGTTATTAGTGAATTTGGTCTTAAAATATAAACCTGATTTTATTAGTATTCAGAATACCTCAGAATGAACCAAATTGCACCATTTTTGTAAAAAAATATATTCCGGGGCATAGCCCTAGACTCACCAGAAGGTAAATGCTAAAGCTAGAACACAAATGTTCCAGTCGTTTGAGATGCCACATTCCTTATTCCTAGCAAATAAATTCTCTGCCTGTGTGCAGGTTATATAATAGGTTGAAACAACATTTGCCGCGATGTGAAACCTAAACAATGGAATGACTAAAAACGGTTTGTAAAACCATTTCGACACAACTCTTTGCTGAAAGCAACACATGTTTCCTAACTAACATTCCACACTAAAACACCAAAAATCAGAAATGTCAGTTCAAATCTCTCCATGGATAATCAATCACTCATCAGATCAACTCATGTGTTTAATCCTAGCTGTTTCCCCAAAAGATTACCACCATGATCACGCAAATTACTTCCCACAGAGTGGCTGGGGAAAGCAGGGGCACTCTGCAACATTCACAGTGTCAATTTGCAACATTCCAAATACCACGTAATCAAAGCGAGAACCATCTCCGCGAGCCCGACGCCCCCCCACCCCGCGCAATGAGACCCCACCCCCCGCCCCCCAGCAGGCGCAACAAGATGCGCGCGTGCTGCACCTTGTTGTTTTTGTACTCGGCGACGGATGTGATGGCCATCACGACCTCGACGAACTTCATGAGCAGCACGTAGGCGCGCTCCTCGTCTCCGTCCAGCTCCGCCTTGCCCGCCGCGCCGTACAGCTTGCCGGCGGACGTGCAGCACCTGTACGAGCGAATGACCGGAATCCACTAGCAAAATCACAACAAACGACACGAAACGTCGCCAATTCATTTTTTTTTACAGTTTTAAGAAATGCGGTTATTCTTTTTCGCGGCTTGTCAGACGTCCTGGTGCATTAGATCGAACAGGGATGAATGGAGAAAAGGATTGACTGCATAGTGGCCCATTCCACCACCATGTTTATGCTCAGAATAAATAAGGCTATATTCTTCTTTTCTATGTTTTTATCTCTCAATATCTCTGTATTTCATAAGCACACCTACCTATTAGCATTGGTTTGTATATGTAGGAGGCTATTCTGTTTTAATTGTATGATATACGATACTGTAACTATAACATCTTAAGCTGCGTTTACACTATCGATTTTTGTCAGCAAATCGTCCGAGTCGTGCAAAATAGAACATGTTCTATTTCTCCAACTCGGCGACTTGACTCTGACTCCGACTCCAACACAATCGAATTTCAGCCGATTAGTTGGAATACACTTGAAATCGGTACGATTTGCTGACAAAAATCGATAGCGTAAACGCAGCTTTAGCTAAACATAGGAGTTAAACGTTCCATGATTATTTCCACCAAATTTATGCAACAGTATTCTGAGATTTTACTATATTAAATTACAAATTTTATTTACTAACTCGATCCCTTATAAAAATAGCATTAAATGCATTCATATATGTGTAGCTTGTATAGATCTATTATATACGATTTATTTAAATGCAAAACTTACTGTCTAACATTCTTTGTGGTTAGTCCAAGCGCTTTAACATCCTCTACCTTTTTATTGAGGTCATCTAGTGTCACACCAAGATACAATGTCTTTAGCTGTTTTCTTGGCATTTTTACCTAGAAAAAGTAATTATTTACACAAATTCAAATGTTTATAAACACCATGTTGGGTGGGGGTGGAGAGGGCTCTAATAGCAAAAGCAGTTCAGTCCTTTGTTAACAGTCAACAAATCCGTGTTTACCCCTCCTCATGAGGGTCAAAAGGTTATCAGACACTTACTCTTCGCACGTCAGCGGAAAGCACATTTCATGGTCCTTTCAATAAAGTGATAAAAATGGTAGGTTAGCACTGAAACAAAAAAGTTTTGCACACGGTCCGTTAGACCATGTCCTCAGAAAATGTCTGATATCTGACCTTTCCCCCACTGCCCTTTGACCTGTGACCTCCAATTTCGCGCTGATGATTGGTTTCCACTATACATCAAATATTAAGAGCGTAGGTCAAGCCATTGAGATTTGTGCTGCAATTCCGTATTTCCTCCTATACCTTAAGTTAGGGGGGAATATTCCCCCTCCATTGACACACCTTGACCTTTGACCCCACAAATTCGACATCCCGAGTCCTTTTAGCGAACCACCCGTTCCAAAAGTTATTTTGATCCTCTGTCCTTCTGTGAGTTTGTAAACAGTGGTGTGCGTGGGATAGGATTGTGTCACACAGCCGCTTGTGCTATAGCTCTACAGGTGTAGCCCCTTCGCTCCTGCTACAGCCTACATAGCCCAACCAGGCCCTGCGACTGTTTCACGTTCTTCTCTGTTACCTTCTCGCCACGTAGTGAGAAGCATGCAAGAAGGTAACTTGTGGCTACAGCCTACAGGACTATAGGCCTACTACAACATATTATCAGGAGTGAATAATAATAGATCTATTAGTATTATTATTCACTCCTGATATTATGATTAGATGATATTATGACTTTTATTTAGAACGTATAATATAGAACGTTTACAGCGTGGCCAGCAACGCTCTAGTGTGCAGCACCATAAACAAGTGCCGCGGAGCGACAGCGCTCATCTAACGTCTACTGCGGTGACTCTGTGGTGGAGTGGTGGGATTCTAGTAAACCCTGTTAGTCCCAATGTGTTCACATACGCGGCGAAACAGTGGAAGGCACAGGGATGGTATCAGAACCTTCTTCACAAGAATGTTCGTTGGCATCGTTCAATGAAAATGTTCCACGAACTGGCGGCGCGTAGCGTTTACAGGTGTCTTAAGATTAAAGATGGAAGCTCCATCGTACGTATTAGCAACAACTATTTGCAAGACAGAATAGTAAGCACTCATCCATTTACCTACGCAAGCCTACAGGCTGAAATAAGGAGCTGCCACCTGTAACTAATTAACGCCAGGCAGAACTACACAGTACTATCACCACACATGCACGGCAGTGGCTACAGTTACATGTAACACACTGACAGTAGACAATGCCATAGAATTATACGATTTACAGGAGCATAAACCTCTTCAACCAAATTTAGCTTTTGAAATTTCACTGTGACATTGTAGCTCATTACATCCAGGCATGTATAGATTCTACTAGCAACCCGGCAGTCAAATTCTTTCTAACAGTAAACAAATCCATGTTTAACCCTCCTCTTTGAGAGGTCAAAAGATTTCATCAGGCACTTACTGCTGCACACGTCAGCGTGAAAGCCACATTTCAGGTGTGGTCCTTTCCATAAGCCCATTAAAAATGCTTAGGTCACACGCCTGAAACAAAAGCTTTTTTTAGTCGCTCCGTCAGATCATGTCCTCAGAGTAATGTTTAAAATCTGCCCCTGCTGCCCCACTACCTTTGACGCTGTGACCTTCAATTTCGCACAGTGATAGCTTTTCCTTACCATGGATGCTATACACCGACTTATCACGACCTAGTTCAAGCCGTTTAGATTTGTGCCACAATTCTGCCATTTCCTCCTATACCTTAAGTTAAGGAGGGAATGTCCCCTTCTTTTACACCTCTTACCTTGACCCCCAGCTTTGAGCATCCCAACTCGTTTTCGATTACCCCCCACCGTCCGAATATCGTGACCTGTACGTCGAGCGGTTAAAGATTTGTGCCCAACTGTGACGCAGCACGCCACGGCTACGGCTACGATCATAAGCGCCATCCTCACAAGCTGCATCGACTACGTCCAGATGCAGCTAAGAAATCACCCTAGCTGCAACATAAACGTGGTATTCTTTCCACACAATAAGCCCGGCGCACATTGCCGAACATTTCGCTCAACAAACTTATTCGTAAGCAATGTCAATGAAATGTTCGCAATTGTCGGCTTTTGAAAAAAGTCTGCCTGAACATTTGTTCCCCGAACAATGCTTTCTGAGATCGGAAATGTTTTGATAGCTCAAACATATTGTTCGTCGAATGTTCGTCAATGTGCGCTGAATGTCGAACAGCTAGGAAACATTTGTAATAGTAGTAAGCCGATATAGCTGCACGATATGGTGGGTCACATGGATTATCTGTGCCAATCATGCGCTGTGATCACGATCTTGGTTACAACCACAGCTACTAAGACGGCAGCCACCGAGCGTGGTCGCTGCCCAAAATGGTTCAGCAATAGTGCACGCACAATTGTCCTCACCCGCCACAAATTGCCCAGACAAAAACATTGCCCCTAATCGCGGAAAATGCTTCCCCCGGCCACATGTGCCGCCAGGCTTAAACCCCCGGGCGCCGCGTGCGCGGTCTACGATATATGTCCGCGTATTACCCATGTAGACGTTCTCATCTAAAAATAATAGGCCCTAGTGCCGCAACTTGCACAGTTGAAAAAACCCTATCGCCATTGCAGACACAATTGAGAATACCACTCCTATTGGCCACACAATGAAAATATCCCACCCCTTAAATGCAATACACAATGAGAGTCTCCTCACCTGACCCCTACCCCCTATTGCGAGCTATGCAGACAAGCTGAGCCGGCAAGAGTGGGAGGGAATGGAGGGGGTCGGTGGCCCGTGAGGCGGGCCTACTGCGGGTGCGCAGGTGTTGACTGGAACGATCGCCGAGGGGCTTATTGCCGGGATTTAGCTTTGTAAAGCCGGTGTCCTATTTGCTCCGCGCGGGCACCGCTTTAGAAGTTGAAAAACACCCCCCTAACCCACAAAATTTTGAACGCACATGGGGTAATACCGGCATATATAGTGACCCCCCCCCCGAGGCTTAAACGGCCTGCTATTGTCTTCTTTAATGGAATGCGCACGATCACACTGTGTTGCACAGCCACATGATAGATACAATAATGTAACCCAAACACAGGATAGGTGTACCTATAACACCCTATCCTGTGTTTGGGTTACATTATTGTATCTAAGCCACAGGCACAGGAGTGCTGCAACAGCATTGTGCGTGGGGTAGAGATTGGACTTTTTAGAGTCTTGGATATTAAAACATTAAGACTTTGGTAGTAAACACAATTTGTTTTATTTAGCATAATTTCATTACTGAAACGATACAAGTCAAGTGGCTGTGCGTCCAGGATCATTGCCATTGGCATTGCCATTGGCTGGCGGGGACATTAATTTATATTTTTTGATCGTCATTTACGACCGTTTCTTGAACGTTACGTCGTTAGGCTCGTAATCATATTATCATACCATGTGACTAGATCAGCGAGGGTTCACAAACCGAGAGAGACATTCTCACATACAAACAGCACATTTAAAAATCTCTCCATCTAGACCAGCTACGCCCAACAACTTACCACTAGCTGTACCAGACTTTAATCACCAAATCAACTAAGTAAAGTCTGAAATCACTTGTTAACAGCATCCATGTCTCCGTATAATACCTGACCGGACCTCCTAAATACCGAAATCAATCGAAACAACTTAAAATGACCCTAATTGAATGGTATATATAACGCCCTACCACACACACACACACATATATACATATATATATAGTGTATGGTATCATAATACATTTTCAGTGTAAATATTGCGACAATTTAGAGTCATTTCGAGTTAATTGGTGTCATTTCGAGTTAATTGGTGTCATTTCGAGTCATTCCGGTCTTTAGGAGGTCCTAATAACGCACACGTAAACAACATGGAGGACATCGGTAAAAGCGAGAGCGTTCGTCAACGATATAAGCCACTAAAAGAAGATTGGGATCCCGATTTGCCGTACGGGGGACGTGTATACCTAGCACGAAGAAAGAAACCCGACGCTTTATGGATACAAGTGTTGCAAGTATGGCTGTGGTTGATTAAAAAAACTGTTGTAATTGATATGCCCTTGCTGGTACAGTGCCAGTGGTAGGTGACGAACTTCCACTTTCTGATCTGTTTCCATGGCAACAATAACAAATAAACTGAAAATAACAGCACAATTATGGTAGCATTCTTCTAACTATAGCTAACTAATGATATAATGTAATTAAAACTGAAATTAAAGCAAACAGGGTGTAAAATGATATTTACCTGAATTTTTACCTGGTGAGGTCAATTTTATGACGTCACAGGTCATCACAGTGTGGTCACTGAGAGGTCAAATTACGGCAATCACTTACCTTTTGTGGGAACTTACCTCATGTGAAATACCAGGGTAATTGGTTAAGAGATGTAGGAGATATAACTAATTAATTTACGAAAAATGGGTAAAAATGATCCAAAAATTTCCCATTTTGCTCCTATAATACCTTCCCATAGTTAAGGATTCCCCAAAATTAAAATACCCTTGCCCTGGCCTTGGTTTGGTTGCCATGCAGTGATGCATTAGTCCAGAAATTATGAGTTTGTATTGATTAGTGCCCACCTCGGCACATGGCCATTGTTTATTTGCGTCCAACTATAGGCGTACCTTAGAAGTCGGTACCTAATTCTGTGAAAATACGGCGAACTCCAAAGTAACCGGTAGCGCCAGCGGTACATTATAATGTGGGCTTTACGAGTACGACTATTTCACATACTATTTTTACTAGGAAGAGTTCGATTCTCGCCACGTAGTGAGAAGCGAGCAGGTAACTTGTGGTTAAGGTTGGACCAGCTTATCACTTGGTGACATTGCCATTGGCCTATAAAGTTAATGATGAACTATTTATTTCTAGGTGGCAGTTATTCTCTCTGTTGTGCTCATGAGCTACTACTCATATTACCACTTTGACAAGGTGCATTTCCATGTCACGAAGATGTATGCTCATCTTGGCACCCCACAGGCTCAACATCTGACTGGTCAGCGATACTTGCAAGGTAGTATAATTTCTCACATGGCTAATTTATGCAAGCTGGTAGAGATAAAGAGATGAGAGAGAGAGAGAGAGAGAGAGAGAGAGAGAGAGAGAGAGAGAGA